ATACGGGGGCCAGCTGGTAGACCTGGCGGCAGGTCCCAGATCCAAGGAGGAGGGAGGGAAAAATGCACTAACCAAAAAGAGCTGATGCCGAAACCGGTTTGGCTCAGTGGATAGAGCGTCGGCCTGTGGACTGAAGGGTCTCAGGTTTGATTCCGGTCAAGGGCATGTACCTGGGTTGCAGGCACATCCCCAGTAGGAGATGTGCAGGAGGCAGCTGATCGATGTTTCTCTCTCATCGATCTTTCTAACTCTCTATCTCTCTCCCTTCCTCTCTGTAAAAAATCAATAAAATATATTTTTTAAAAAAAGAGCTGATATTAATATCAAGCGTATGTGTTGTTGTTCCTTTTAATGACGCCAGTGAGAAACCAGACGAAAGTAAGGGAACAGTATTTTTACGCTCAGACGCATCTATCATCTTGGATCGATCAAGGCAGGAGGGCCTTGCAAATAAGACACCGGGAAGGGTACAGACATTTAAAACCGGTGGGAAATCTGTTCTATTTGGAAGGAACTGGTGGTCTGTACGTCTGTCTCATATGGCTACTGAAAATTACAAATGTACGGGGTTAGAAATGCCATCAGCACCCTGTAAACAGCATTGGCGTTGGTGCAGCATAGCAGACTTATACATTGACCATGAAGCACCTCGCTTTAAAGAAATGGCTGGAGCCCTGGCCGGTTGGGCTCAGTGGATACAGCGTTGGCCTGTGGACTGAAGGGTCATGGGTTCAATCCCGGTCAAGGGCACATGCCCAGATTGTGAGCTCGATCCCCAGTAGGGGACGTGCAGGAGGCAGCCAATCAATGCTTTTCTTTCATCATTGATGTTTCTCTCTCCCTTTCCCTTCCGCTCTGAATTCAATAAAAATGTTGTTTTTTAAAAAAGAAACTATTGGGAATAATTTTGATACTAACGGTCCTGTTTCTATCTCTCTCTCCCTTTCCTTTCCTCTCTGAATTCAGTAAAAATGTGTTGTTGTTTTTAAAAAAAGAAACTATTGGGAATAATTTTGATACTAAAGGCCTCACCTGACCTGGGAAATATATCTTATGTATACAATTGTACTTACATTTTAGCATATAATTTACAAAGTATTTTAACATATATTGCTAGTTTTCTCCTGACAGGGTAATTGAGTGGCAGAAACATGATAAGAAACGAGTTATAAATTATTATTCCACAGACTTAAATAGCAGCAAGCCGTTCTGACAAATACCAGTATTTCATTCATCTTGGCTTTCAAGTTTCCTAATTGAATCCTACAGTTGCACAACAGACACACAGTGTTCAATTTGTAAGGTGGCTTGAATTCCATTCTTGGCTCTGTGCTACCTCGCTCCCTGATACTGGGGAAGTGATTTAACAGAAGCAAACTTCCCTCCATTTCTTCATCTGCATAACAGACACTACGAATTAATTACCCCGCCCGGTCCCCACAAGAATATTGTGAGAACCGGTGGGCTAAGTCCCCAAAGCCTCCCTATTCCACATCTTAGATATCGATACAATAAGTGCAGAAGATCAACTCTTCATTTTTGAGACAATAGTGATTAGAAATATCACAGAGCTCTCTCTCCAGCAGGCGTGTTAGCGTGACTCATTCGAGCCACATCCATGGCCATGGAAACCTGTACTGCACCGTGAGGTCAACGCCGAGATCAGGGGCTGGAAAAAGACAGCATCTGGCATTTGAAAAATGTACTTTCGGTGCTTGGATAGATCTCAGCTTCGCTAGCCCAGCACTATTTGCAAGATATTCCTGGCATGTTGCAAACTGCATAGCACTGCGATCCTGAGTGGAATACCTTTCTTCTAAGAGTGACACGGAGCTCGCGGCAAGAACCTCTGGACAAGTATTTGCAAGCTGATTAGACTCTTTGGAACCCTAACATTTCTGAGGACACGGGTGCAGTTTGAAACATAAAGAAAGGGTACTCCGCCCTAACCGGTTTGGCTCAGCGGATAAAGCGTCGGCCTGCGGACTCAAGGGTCCCAGGTTCGATTCCGGTCAAGGGCATGTACCTTAGTTGCGGGCACATCCCCAGTAGGGGGTGTGCAGGAGGCAGCTGATCGATGTTTCTCTCTCATCGATGTTTCTAGCTCTCTATTCCTCTCCCTTCCTCTCTGTAAAAAATCAATAAAAATATATTTAAAAAAAAAAGAAAGAGTATTCCATTTTGGTCCATATCTATAGAGACTATCTCCTATGATTTCTGAACATACAACAATGCCTTCAAGGAGATAGCACTGTTAGGTGATCTGAGCCATCAGATAACCTTGACATTCTTCTTCTATTTTCTTTTTAAATGCATTTTTATTGATTTCAGAGAGGAAGGGAGAGAGAGAGAAACATCAATGATGAGAGAGAATCACTGATGGGCTGCCTCCTGCATGCCCCACACTGGGGATGGAGCCCACAACCCGGGCACGTGCCCTGACCAGGAATCGAACCATGACCTCCTGGTTCATGAGTCCACCCTTAACCACTGAGCCACACCTGCCGGATGAAAGTCAATGGGTTTTATCAAACTTTAAACAATGCAGCTACAGAAGACCCCTTCGTACGAAGAAGTGCTGCCCTGAACGCTGACCACGTGGCCTGGAAGGGAAAGGGGTGAACTACAGCCTTCACCTTTGACCCTGGGAAGCCTCCCTCCTCGAGGCCCCCAAAGGCTACCTCTTCTGGGGAAGGACTCGAAGGCATCAACTAAGAAATCCAAACGGGAGAATAACAAGCTTCCGCTTTGTCTGACTTTATCAGCGTTGGGAAGGGAATGATGTCATTGTTTGGGGGTTCTGCGAAGACATGGCACGTCCCCTCCGTGTTAATACCAGGCTGGAGCCTGCGTGGCCCGCCAGCACCGGCCCGATAAACACAGACCTGGAGTCTCTCTGTTCATCTTCGAACAGTTCCTCGGAACGGTCCTGGAAAATATGCCTGTTCTGAACTAAACATTTCACTTTTCATCTTATCCATGTTCCAGAAGGCCATTCCTGGGATAAACACGTTACAGACGAACACTCTAAAAGCCACTGCACATGATGAACTACGTGTGCATCCTTCAGGGTGGATTAGAGACTTTCCCTCCCGTGACAAATGAACAGTGACATACCCTGCGGAACCACTGGAACCGACATTCCGTTGTTTCTCTCCTTCGTTGTGTCTTTATTTTGCACGAGAGAGAAAGTTTCCATTTCAACTCATTGGTTACGCAATCCTGGCCTGGGCTAAATACCACTCAAGCAATATCACACACAGAAATAGCATGTATTTTTAAAAATCTGCGACTTAAAATTCTTTTACCAATGTGCTTTCTTCCACCACTCTTTCTCGCCTTTTACTACGGGTTGTTTGAAATTGCCTCTGCTGGTATTAAAATTAAATAGAGAACGAATGTATTCACTTCAAAAATTAAAGTAAGATTGGTACTAGGATGTAGATTAAGTTAGCGAAGCAATTACCACGGAATTGGTAAGTTGATGCCATTTATTTTGGCTTCTGCTATGAAACATAAAGAAAGGGTAGTCCATTTTAACAGCCAAGGCTTTTAAAGGAGGCAGCCAATCAATGATTCTCTCATCATCTCTCTCATCTATTCATCTCTCCCTCGCCCTTCCTTTCTCTGAAATCAATAAAAACACATTTTTTAAAAAAGAAACTGGTCAGCCGAAACCAGTTTGGCTCAGTGGATAGAGCGTCGGCCTGCGGACTGAAGGGTCCCGGGTTCGATTCCGGTCAAGGGCATGTACCTGGGTTGCGGGCACATCCCCAGTGGGAGATGTGTAGGAGGCGGCTGATCGATGTTTCTCTCTCGTCGATGTTTCTAACTCTCTATCCCTCTTCCTTCCTCTCTGTAAAAATCAATAAAATATATTTTAAAAAAAAAAGAAACTGGTCAAATTCTTTTACCAATTTGCTGAGCACAATATTTTATATCAACTCAACCACTACAAAATATGTGATATCCTACCTACAGGATCTGGCCAAATCAGTAATGGCAAAGAACTTCTTTCACCTAAATTTTCTCACAAATGTAATCAGATTTCTTCAGAGAGAGTGATGGGTTCATTTCATGTGTTAACTTGGGTTGCGATGGGAACCAGGGTGGGGTCAAACACCAGCGTAGAAGCTGTTGTGAAGGTGTTTTTTACATGTGATGAGCATGGGTATCGGTAGGGTTTGAGAAAAGCAGATCACTCTTCATAATGTTGGTGAGTTTCATCCAATTAATTGACGGCCTTAAGAAAAACAACAACTGTGGTTCCACAGTACGAAGGGATTGTCTCTAGAATGCTTTCAGACTCAAGATTATAATATCAACTCCTTCCATAATCTCCAACCTGCCAGGAGCCAATTCCTTAGCATCTCTCTCCTTGCCACCAGCCCCCCGTGTGCATACACACACACACACACACACACACACACACACACACACACATGTACATACACATATACATTTTATTGGTTCTGTTTTTTTGGTGAACCCCAACTAATACAGGGAGAAAAAAGAAGAGGAGAAAATTGAGGCAGAGCAGGGAGATTTCTGAGATCCTTCTCTATGCTCACCCATGATTGCCAATCTCCCTTCTGGAAGTTGGGGGTACACAGGTGAAACCCCAGGCTTTCTAACTGGTCCCCACTTTTGAATGTGGAAACGCAATAGTTCCCGATCACCAAACACTTCGCCCTTTTTTCTTGGAACAGATTCCTGCTACCTTTCTTTCTCTTGTATTTCCAAACCCTCTTCAAAAGTGAAGGTGCTACTCTATTCACAATAAATTGGTACTTAACAGGATTATACATCATCCAGACTCACAAATATAAAATTCCAGAATTCAATGTGAGATTAAAGTGCACTGTTACATCACCTTCTTTTCCTCCTCTGCCTGAAAATAAAAATGGAACTACTGATTGGTTCCTTGAGATAAAACATACTAAGAATTTTATAAGCATATTCTGAAAAGAAATATTACAGAAAAGTACTTAATTTCTCACCATTTATGCGTCTCTGTTAGTGAATTCTCCTCTGCCTCTTGGTCAATTTTAGCTGAAAATACAAAAAAAGAAAAAGATAAGTGACAAATAGTTACACTCACTCAAGCAAGTGATGACCCAAATAATATAAAATATATTATAACTCATTATTATTAATGCAAACATGTTCATCAGAAGTTTATTTTAAATCTATAAATAGATATAATTGAATAGATTATATTTAATTTTCATTAAATTAATACTATTAGATTGATACAGATAAAATATATAACCAATTAAAATTTTTAGATTCTAAGTAATTTCCTTAACTCTGTCACATGAATCTGAGAAAGCAAAACACTAGCTAGCTTCATATGCATGTCTATTGTGTTTGTCAAATATTAAATACCAATAATTAGTTGAAAATAATTATTTCAAGCAAAGGTACAAAAACCAACGAGAAAGGGTATGTGACCTTCTCCCTAAGTGTTCTCCACACAGATGGACAGGTACCGAGATTATTTCTACAAAGGAACAAGATAAGACACGAACATTGCCCATTCATTGAAAGTGGGGAGGTGATTATGGACCCATTTATTTGCTACTATTTTTATTTAAAAAGAAAGAATGATAGCCAGACATAAACCCAAGGGTCAAATTTGGAAAAGAGATTACATCACTATTTTCAAATTATCCTCTATAATAAAAGCCTAATATGCAAATCGACCAAACAGCGAAATGACCGGTGGAACAACCAGTCGCTATGACGTGCACTCACCACCAGGGGACAGATGCTCAACAC